TTTGTCTTTTTACTGTTGAGTTGTAACTTTTTTATGTACTCTGAATGCAAGTTATGTGTCAGATATATCCTTCAAACGAGCTCCATGTCAGGTCAAATAATAACACTCTGTAAATAGGTATTTTCTAGGGAACTTCAAGACAGGTTAAGTAATAATTCTCTCTGAGGATGGAACTTTTTGAGGAGCTCCAAACCCAGTCTGCCCCGTCCAGTGGCTGCAAGGCTGCTGTTTTTCACAGCTCCTGTGGTTGCAAGGCTGATGATTTTCAAGGCTACTGTGGAGCTGGGGAAATGAGGACTTGTCTGTGGAGTATATAAATAATTCAATAATAAGAAACAAAAACTCAATTTAAGAATTGGCAAGATATTTAAAGAGATCTTTTACAAGAGAAGAGATATGAATGACAAATTAGAACATGAACAGATGCTTAACATCATTAGTCATTAAGGAAATGTAAATTAAAATCACAATGAGAAAATAATACAAACCCACTAGAATGGATAAAAATAAGAGTCTTAATACCAAGTGCTGGTGAAAATATAGAGCAACCGGAATTCTTTTACTCTGTTGGTGAGAATGAAAAAAAATGGTACAAACACTTTGGAAAACAGTTTTAGAATTTCTTATAAAATTAAGCAATTTCTTATGTGCTCTAGCAATTTCACACTAGGGATTTACCCAAGAGGAATGAAAACTTCTGTCCACACAAAATCCATTAGGTGAATGTTCATAGTAACTTTATTCATAATGGCCAAAATCTAGACACAACTCAGATGTCCATCCATAGGTGAGTGGATTAACAAATTGCATTACATCCATACAATTGATACTGTCAGTAATAAAAAGGAAAAGACTACTGAAATGTGCAACAATATGCATGAATTTCTAATGCATTACACTGAAGAAAGAAACTAGACACAAAGGCCACATACTGTATGATTCTATTTATATGACATTCTAGAAAAGGCAAAACTATAATAACAGAAAATGAATTAGAGTTTGCTAGAGCCTGGGTGTTGGGGAATGGAATTAACTGCAAAGAGGCTCAAAGAACTTTTTGGAGTTATGGGAAATTTTCAATATCTTGATTGCATTGGTGGCTACTATATACATTTATCAAAACTCACTGAACTATAGGGCCAGCCCAGTGATGTAGCGATTAAGTTTGCACGTTCTGCTTCAGCGGCCTGGGGTTCGCCGGTTCGGATCCCAGGTGCAGACGTACACACTGCTTGTCAAGCCACACTGTTCCCACATATAAAGTAGAGGAAGGTGGACATGGATGTTAGCTCAGGGCCAGTCTCCCTCAGCAAAAAGAGGAGGATTGACAGCAGATGTTAGCTCAGGGCTAATCTTCCTAAGAAAAAAAAAGCTCATTGAACTATGCACTTAAAAGGGGCGAATTTTGCAATATGTAAATTATACCTCAATAAACCTGACAAAATATTTTACACAGATGTTGTAATCAACTTTATATTATTATAAATATTACAAACTATTAATATGAAATAGAATTATATTAACATTTTTAATAGAAAAAATATGGGGCTGGCTCGTGGCTGAGTGGTTAAGTTCGCGCACCCTGCTGCAGCAGCCCAGGGTTTGGATCCTGGGCGCAGACATGGCACCCCTCGTCAGGCCACGTTGAGGCAGTGTTCCACATCCCACAACTAGAATGACCTGCAACTAAGATATACAACTGTGTACAGGGGGCTTTGGGGAGATAAAAGCAGGAAAAAAAAAAAAGATTGGCAACAGTTGTTAGCCCAGGTGCCAATCCTTAAAAAAAGAAAAAAAAGGAAGATTGGCAACAGTTGTTAGCCTAGGTGCCAATCTTTAAGAAAAAAAAAATAGACAAAAAGTAGTTTCAAGTACATAGTAACAGTGTCTGTGACAACAAATGTATAAGGTACACAAGAATAAATCTAACAAAGATGTGTGAAAACTTTATGTAGAAAACTTATAAAACTTTATTGAAATATTTTAGAGAAGGTCTATATAGATGGAGAGAGGCACCATATTCATTGATCAAAAAATTTAATATTATAAAGATTTCAGCTTTCCCCAGTTGAGACATAAATTCAGGTTAAATTTATTGACCTGGCAAATATATATTTTTTTATTGTTGGGTTGAATTGGTAGAATTTTAAGCTTTTTTTATAAAATTTTTGCTGAGAAGATTGGCCCTGAGCTGACATCTGTTGTCAATCTTCCTTTTTTTTTCCTCCCTAAAGCCCCAGTGCATAGTTATATAACCTAGTTGTAAGTCATTCTAGTTGTTGTATGTGGGATGCTGACACAGCATGGCTTGATGAGTGATGTGTAGGTCTGTGCCCAGGATCTGAACCAGTGAGCCCCTGGCCACTGAAGCAGAGCACACAAACTTAACCACTCAGCCACGGGGCTGGCCCCAACTTAGGGAATATTTACTGAGTACCTATCTTTATTCAAGCATCTACGTTTTAGGTGCTTGAGATGTACAAATGAGCAAATTCAGAAATAACCCTGCCAATTTTGAATTTATCATCTAGCTGGGTAGGAGATAGGTGGGTGAGAGGGAGATAAAATAACAGGAGGCATATGAATAAGTAAACCGTATAATATGTTAAAAGATAATACTTGACTATGAACAAAAAGTAGAGGCAACTAAATGATTAGAACTAGTGGAGAAGAGATTGTGACAAGCTACAATTTTAAATGAAGTCATCTTAAAATCAACAAATTTATTCTAAAATATATTTTAGATGATCAAATGGGCCAAAAACAACTCGTTACTGAAATATATATATATATATATATGCTAGAGAAACATGCTCTGTCAGATATTAAGACTATTTTAAAGCTATACTAATATGGTGGTATTCTATTGGTGACTGATATACAAAGGAACAGAATATAGAACCCATAATATACTCAAAGACATGTAGAAACCATATGAGTAAGGAAAGCCTGCATTATTTAATAAATGGTCCTAAAATAGAAATTGGATCTACCTCACATGTACTCAGAAATAATTTCAAATGGATAAGGACTTAAATATAAAATACAATGCATTTAAGACAAAAATATAAGGAAATATCTTTAAGAAACCGTAGTAAGAAAGAATTTCCTAAGCAAGATTAAAAATTTCAAAATTTTCTTAAGATTCAAAAATGCACCTAAGTTATATTTAACAACTTTTTAATTTCACTGAGTATCCACTTTATTAGTAATCAGGAAAATGCGAGTTAAATTCGCAACATCATTTCACATTCATCAGACTGACAAAAAGTAGAAACTACTGTGAAAATTTCAAATAAGAGGAAGGATGTGGAACAATGGATACCATCATACTGCACTGACAGGAATAGAGAGTCGTATAGCTTCTTTGAAAAGAAAATTATGATGCCTAATAAAATGTTCAAATATATGGTCCTAAAGTCATGAGCAAGAATGTTAATAAGATCATCATTTTAAATGAATTAGAGAAAAACAAATCTACATGGGTTCATCTCAGAAGCATAATATTGAGTGTACAAAGAAAGTTACAGAAGAGAACCTATAGTATGATTACGTTAATATAGCCTTCAAAATCAAGCAAAAGGTAACAACGTATTGTTTATGGATATATACATATGTAGCAAAACTATATAGCAAAAAATGATTAATACAACTTCTGATATTTACTTCTTAGAGATAGGGAAGGGAAGTATTAAGGGAGGGGCACATGGGGACTTCAAACATTGAAATGTTCTAATTTTTTTTTTTTGATGAGGAAGATTGGCCCTGAACTAACATCCACTGCCAATCCTCCTCTTTTTGGTGAGGAAGATTGTCACCAAGCTGACATCTGTGCCAATCTTCCTCCACTCTATGTGGGATGCCCCCACAGCATGGCCTGACAAGCGGTGCTAGGTCTGCATCCAGGCTCCAAACCCATGAGCCCCAGGCCACCAAAGTGGAGCATGTGAACCCAACCACTATGCCACCAGGCCAGGCAAAATATTCTATTTCTTAAGCTTTGTGGTGGGCAAGTGGGCATTTGTTTATTTTTTAAACTATTATAAACATTATAAAAATTCTTCTGTATATATATTTCCTAATATAAAAATTTCAAAAAGTACTGGATATATGTTCAGCCTATGGTTTACATGGATGTATATTCCATCTTGTACAGTAGATATATGAAGCCCCATTTAATATTTTCTTTGAAGAGCTTAACAAACTCTTAACTGTTTTTGAATTAAAATTAACTTGCAAGTATTTCTTTTAATGAGGAAGATTTAACATTCTCTGGAGAAATCAGGGACGCTTTAGAAAATAAGTGCTATTAATGCTATCAAATGTTTCCATTAGCTTTCTGATTCACATAGACTTTAAAAGTGTTTTCACTCTTCTCCACTTAGCATAGTCGAGAATGTATTCACAAGTAATAACAAAAATTATAAGAGTGAGAGTTAAAACTTGCTGAATACCCACTACATGTCAGGAATGTTTTTAGGCAAGACAACATAGCAGACAAAAATCTCTACCTTCATGGAGCTCACCTTGTCATGGGAGGAGAAAGCCAATAAACAAAATGACATAAACATAGTATGTTAGAGGGTGATAAGAATTATGAAGAAAATTGAAGCAGGGAAGGGCAAAGGAAGTGCCAAGGTAAAGGGAGAGTGAATTTTAAATAGGATGATTAGGAAAGGCATCCCTGAGAAGGTGACATTGGAGCAGTGACTTGAAACTGGTGAAGGGGAATGTTAAAGGAATCCTGGGGGAAGAGCATCCACGAAGAAGAAACAGACCTATAGGCTCTGAGGCTGGAACACACTTACTGTGTATGAGAAATAGCAAGGTCAGTGTCGATGAATGGAGAAATATCATCAGGGACAACAGAGTAGGAAACAAAATCAGAGGAGGGTAGATCATATAAGACTTACAGATTTTGATAAGAGATCTTGCTTTTATTCTAAATGAGCCCAACAAATTGTGTTCTAATTGTATTCCACTGACTTACATTGTAACAGGATAACGTGGAATGGGGAATCTGGTGGAGAATAAACTGAAGTTGGGCAAGGTAGAAGCAGGGAGACCAGTCAGAAGGCTGTGACAATAACCCAGGTAAGTGATTATGGTGCTGTGGACCATGTTTTAGCAGGAAGGTGGTGAAGTTTTTGGATTTTGAAGCTAGGACATACAAGATTTACTTACAGAGCTCATGTGGAGTGTTAGAGAAAAAGAGGAGCGAAGGGGGACTCCAATGTTTTTGTCCTGAAGAACTGAACAATAGAGTTGCCGTTCCTCCACTCTAAGAAGGGGAAAACTGCAGGTGGAGCATGTTTGGAGAGAAAGATCATGAGCTCACTTTATTGTTCAGTTTGAAATTTATATATAACCCTGGGATTCAGAGAAGTGTGGGCTAAAGAAATAAATGTCAGTTAAATATATAGTACTTAAGATCATTAAAGGAGTGAGAAGAGATTAAAAAGTAAAACATGGTCAATGCCTGAGCCCTGGAATTTTCCAATATTATGAGGTCAGGAGAAAAAAAACCAGCAGGAGAGAGTAAGGGAGTGTGGTTGGTAACGGAGAGTAGGGAAGGACCAGGAGTGAATTTTGTCCTGTAAACGCAGGAAATGTTTCAAACAAGGAGAGGATCATTAACTGTGGCAAATGCTGCTCATAGGCACAGTAACATGTGGATGAGGAACTGACTATTGGATTTACCAATATGGAAGTCACCAATGACTTCAATAAGAAAAGTTTCCTGGTAGGAGTGGGGTTTGGGCTAAAGCTGATTTCAATGGGCCCAAGGGAAAAAATAGAGAACTGGAAACAGAAAAGATAGACAGCTAGACAAGTTTTACCATAAAAACTAAAAGGAAATAAGATGGGTGCTACAGAGGAATGTGCAGTCCAGAGATTTTTTTTTAAATGATGTGATAAATCACAGTATATTATATATGCCAATGAGAATGATCGAGTACAGAGGGTGATTGCATGAACCACATCCTTAAGAGGGGAGAGGAAATGGGATCTAGGGCACTCGTGGAGAAGATGGCTTTACAAAGGGACACAGATCATCCACAGTTCAGGAGTGGAGGCCAAGTACAGGACACTTGACGATGGCAGATGTGTAGATGCGGTAGTGGGAACAGGAAAAAAGATCTTTTCTCTGTTTCAATTTTCTCCATGACCAAGGAATCACAGATATTAACTGAGAATGAAAATGGGAGAATTAATTAGAAGTTTGAAGGAGGAAGAGAAAGCAGGAAATATTTTTCTAGGAAAGTGGAAGACTGAATAGACGAGTGATGTGTAGTATTATTGTTACACAGCTCCAAGGGCCCACTTAAAATTGTGGTCATAAGTTTAAATGAGAATGGTGATTATGGGAATATGTTTTTCTCCTGCCCAAACTGATGCTTGGGTAAAGGCAGAGAACACAACAAAAGATGGAAGAGATTTGGGGTATACCTAAGAAAATAATTAGAAAGTGTGACTGTGGAATGTATCCTTGGTAGGAAGGGGAATGCATACATGAAGGAAACATGGAATAGTGAAATTTTTTATAGAATTAGCAGAGTGTATGTCTTACTGGATTTGAAGAATTCTTTGATCAGAGAGGGGGGCACTTGAAATTTTGATGATGCAGGTTTACAGTGACTACTGATGAGAAATCTTAGGAGGTGTACATGTTTGTTGATCTTTGCCTTGATGGTAACTTTTAATAATTATATTCAAAGTATCTATGGTATTTTGTATTTCTTAGCATAACATACTCAAGTAATTAATTGCTTTGTTTAGTTTTCATAGCTAACAATTGAATGTTTACATAGGTATTTTATTATATTAAAGTACTAAGCACTCTTTAATTCTATATAAAGAAAGAATTCTTATTTTAATTCTTAAAAAGTTTTTCTTTTTCTTTTAATTCTCATAAAAGAGTTGTAAATAGTGTTTCTTTTCTCTAATAAGTAAACAGAAGTTGATGATACAAGGATATATCAGTTAGGATATGCATAGAGCGCTGCTGCAAAAAGGACCCAAAAGTAGATTGGCTTAAATAATAAAGATACTTCTTTCTCTCATGGAAAAATTTGAGTTGCATCTTCTAGGCTGTCAGGAAGCTCTTTTCCCTGTGGTCATTCAAGGACTCAGGTTCCTTCCAAGTTCTTGCTTCTCCATCCTCCAGGGCAGGCAGGGGTCTTAAACTTCTTTTGTGCCATGGACCTCTTTGGTAATTTCGTGAAGTCTATGGACACTTTCTCAGCATAATGTTTACTAAATGCATAAAATTAAATGCATTGGATTAAAAAGAAAACAAATTACATTGAAATACCATGATCAGAATATATAACTGTATACTTCTTTAAACTTTAATTTATATGATTTAAAAAGTCTACATTATGGGTATAAATACCATAAGTTTGAAACAATTATGAACATAGGCAAGATTTTAAGATATCTGCAATGGTTGTAATATGATTTGAAAACATCTGTGATTTCTATTTTTGCCAGTGCCACAGTTACTATTAATAAAAAAAAAAGTAATAACTGTGGTTTATTGTCTACATTTTCAACAGAAGAAAATCCTAAATTAATAAAGGTGAAGATAAAATTTTTCACCATCCAAGTTTCATGGACACATTGAATTCCCTCCAGTGGTAGCCCTCAGGTTAAGGGTTAAAAGCCTCTTCTCTATGGCATTGATGTCATCTTCATGGTCAGCTCTGAGTGGAAGCAGAAGGAGAATGTAGAAGTCTGAAAACTTAGGCCCAGAAGGTGACACATAGTAGTTTCAGACCATTGCATTCAAGACAAATCAATCAGAGGATGACAGTCAACTACAAGAGACCTGGAGAAATGTAGACCAGCCATATGTTAAGAAGATGAAAGGACAGAATCAGAGACTCTTCGGAATCCTCAGACTCTGCCTCAAAGGCCACGCCCTTTGTTTCCCCCATTTCTCCTTCTCCTTCCCTTTGGGTGTGGTGTTTATTTTATTTTGTTTTTAAAGTCAATTAATTTTCTTACAGATATGTTCCCTCTGGGTAGTCTCTCAGTCTGTTAGAAAATCTAATATTAGGACTTTCAGAGGAAGTTTCACTTCAAGGTGCAATAATTGTGTAGAGATATTTTTGGCATAATATAATACAAACAAATGCTGGGCAAATTATTCAGAGATAGGAAAAATGCAAGTATATTATATTTGGTCAAGCGTATTGTCCAAGTTGATCTATTTTTCTGAAATTTTATCGAATAAAAGAGTTCTTGGAATAAGTGTGCTGTCTGCCAAATATGACATTAACTATACATGTATGTATTATATTGTTCAAAAACTTCTTATCTCCTATATGTGTATATATATGTATATGCATATATTACTTTTACTTTTTTTTGCTTTTGATTCTAAATCACACAAATTCATTTTTCTATACTCATACAAATTAGTAGGCAGAATAATCTCGTAAACCAACAATATGATTATAAGCTGACCTTCTAACACTGCCTAAGGAAGAAGTACCAGTTTTGTGCAATGAACGTGGCTATCCATCATATTATTCTACTGTAATATCTCCGCTATAACCAGTAAGACTCAAATAATTGTGCCTGCAGAAAGTTGGATGCGGGAAGGGAGAATTAGTTATGAATTTTTATTATCAAAACATTTAAAATATTAGATCTCAGAACTTTATCTCACTTGTAATCACCTCAAATTTAAAAAAAGATATACCAAAGCAGATAAAATGAGCTGCTGATACAAAGAAAAGTTTGCTGCCAGGAAATCAGTTCCATGGGATCAATCTGCCTGAGGCCCATCTTGACTTCTTCCAGCGCAGAGAGGTATTAATCAATGCTTATTTTAATGGCTTCTCTGGTCTGTCTGTAAAACTATAGTTTCCTTATTTAATAGTGAATGATGAATGCTTTTTTGGTAATTATAAATAGAATATATTCTCTTAGATCTACTTAGTGTAAATAATTATATCACTATGTTGCACTAGTGTTTCTTAATCTTTTGGGGGAACCATTCTGGAAACTTGGTAAAAGCTATGGACACTTTCCTCCAGAAAAAATACATGTGCACGAATAAACACAAATTTTGCATGAAGTGTTGAGGTGTTTGCTGATAACCCAATACTCTTCCAGAGGTATACTTAGAGTTGAATTCAGGACCTGTTTAAAATCCTGCCTCTTCTACATTTTCAAATAATGGGAAAAGAATCTATAAATGTGTGGCAAGACCATTTTTCTACAAGTCAAGTCTGTAACATAATTTGTTCACTATGCTAGCAAAATTTGTTCATTCTTGCTAGCAAAATGATGTTGGTGATATTTTCTTGTTAATTCGTGGTGAATATATACTAACTATATATTTTTAGTATAGTTCAATTAATTTTCACTAACCTAAACTAATGGAGGTGAATGATGTTGTGTCATTATATACCCCCTTTAATCTGATGCTAATTATTTGGATATTGTCCCATAAAGAGGGGTTAGGTATTGAAGTTTTCAAACAGAGAAGGACATGAGATGTATATCAGAAAAGGTTTAGTGGAGAAAACAAAAACTTCTTTAGGTATTTTGAGCAGAACATGACTTAATAGAGGATTATATAACTTAAAAATTGCTGGAACAGTTGGAGAAGTGAGGTCCAGACTGGGCCTTCAGAGCTGGCTGAACAGTGCTTCTCAAAATCCACGAAGCTAGAAAATAGACACTAAAACTCTGCAGGAAAGTTTTAAAACTGGTGCAGAAAGACTTCACATCAATATGGCTTTGATTATCAACAGAAACAAACAAAACAGTTTAAATATACGAAATGTCTCCATATTACTCCTCCTGCCTTTCAAATATCACAACATTGCATATGATTGGCAAAACCTAATTTGTATCAAGAAACCCAGCAGTGGAGTTTCCAGGTTGATGAACACAATAAGATGCTGGGAGGCTGCTGTACCCAGAGAGGGCATAAAAGTTCTCTCCTCAACCCCTACACCCTGTCCTAAGCATCTCTTCCGTTTGACTTTTCCTGAAATGTATATTTTATAGTAAACTGGTAATAGATGCCGAATCTTGAACTTTCTGACAAGAGCATGTGAGTTTCAGAGTTCCTACGGTTCTCCTTGCAATGAAGTAGACCAGCAGCTGCAATCAACTGCAATTCTATTACACCTTCATGACGCTTCCCTTGGCCAGAAATGCTCTAAGTAGTCTCAAGAACTGAAGCATTCAGCAAATTATGGCAAGACAGAGCCACATAAAATACTCGCCGGATTTTCATGACAAATATGACAGTGCTAGCCAGCAGAACCACTTGCCATGTCATTGTATGGATGCTTGCCATCACACAGATTGGAATAGAATGGAACTTGTCCTTTGTTGGTAGAGTCACCTCAAAGGAGTGGACAGATCAGTAACCACTACAGTTGCTGTAATACAGAATTGTTTCAAAACCCACTTGTCATCTAAGCCCTCTGTTGCTCATTATAGCATAACTAGAGAAATAAAATACATCTGAAACTTGAAAAACAACCCCAGCAGCAAAGAAATCTAATAAATGTAGTCTCAGTCTCTATCTCTTTAATCTCAGTGTCTTGTCTCTCGTCTCTGTCTGTCCCTCTCCACACTACACTGTCAAGAGGGAGAGATGGAGGTTGACAGGTTCAATTCACAGCTTTCCTCACAAGGAGCTTTTTCGTGTGTTTTTAATTAATTCAGTGCCAATGTACTAGTTGGCTTGGAGATAAGAGATTGATTGAATGAAGTTGGTAAGGATGAAAAAGTCACCAATGACTTGCCTCCTGGTTCATGTGTCTACATGACTGTGGTGCTTTCATGTAAAAGAAAATTCAGCTGACCTAATAGATGACTTTTTCTTTTCAGGGTTGGTAGATAATCATTTATTCTCTTTAAAGTATATAATCAATATGTTTAAAAAATCCTTTACAAGCTGAACTTGTACTGTGGCAACATTTCAATTCTGATTTAGAGAAGTGACCCAAAAAAGTTCAATATACCTTTTGAATTGTTTTCCCCTGAAAGAAAGAGAGGAAGTGAAAAGTGGGAAAAAAACCCAATTTTGAAACCATGCAATGATATGGTTTTAGCTTCTCAAAAAACATCCAAATATCTGATGTAATCACTAAAATTTCATAAATTGTTACATATGAAGGAAATATTGCCTATGAGCATTACATTTCTAAGACTAGCACCTGCATTTGATTAATAACCAATAATCCATTCATCCAGTTTGTGTATAGCCATGGCCAGTCTACTGCCCACAGCCCAGCCTACATTTTGCTTTTTACAGTTCTTCCATTTGGAAATGATATTCAGGATCCTTGACAATAACAACCACCTCCAGTGTTTTCAATATTGCTACCATCACCCTGGCAACACAGAAGACAGGACATAAAGAGTTGCTCTGCCAAACATATCTATTGCTTTGTTGTATTTGTGGGAGCTAGAGTTGTCAAGGGAAATTTATACCAAGTAAAAGTAAATTTTGACTTATCAACAGCAAGATTTTCTAAAAAGTGCGTTTACACTTTATGTAGACAATTAAGTGGAAGTGTCAATAATATAAACCCCATGAGAACCAACAAATACTTGTCTTGTTCCCCAGCACTGAGCACTAGTAGATGCTCTGCAAATATTTGCTGAATGGATGAATTTTGTTCAATACAAGTATGGATTTCTCAAGTCAAAGTATACAGTTGGACATTTATGTTACTGTGTCAGTACTATTAACATTTAAAAAAATCATAGTACAGAATTGTAAATGGATGCAGAGATTTAACTAATGAGTTTCAGTTGAACTATCTGGTATAGATAATCAGACATAATGTTATCAAATGCTATCAATGCTCTTAACACTGAATTAGATACTTCTTATACATTTGTGGCATTTTAGCCTCCCCAAAGCCACATGTTGTAGGTATTTTGCAGACAAGAAAACCTTGACTCTAGGGGCTGGCCTGGTGGCGCAGCGGTTAAGTGCGCATGTTCCACTGCAGTGGCCCAGGCTTTGCCCGTTTTGATCCTGGGTGCGGACACGGCACCAATTGGCAAGCCATGCTGTGGCAGGCATCCCACATATAAAGTAGAGGAAGATGGGCACGGATGTTAGCTCAGGGCCAGTCTTCCTCAAAATAAATAAATTTTTTTAAAAAGAGAGAAAGAAAACCTTGACTCTAATCGGTCAGCAGAGTTTAGCAAGGTTATTCAGCTTGTCAGAGGAGGATAAGACATGATCCTAGTTTCATCTGGCATCAAAGCCTTCACTCCTTCTAGTCCCCAAACCACCTCTCTTGATATATCTCCTAAGTCTTGGGCTTTTCTGGAGTTAGAAAACTAATCTAGCAATCATACCATTGTACTGGTTTCCTTTTCTTAGAATCCCTGTTTTCTCTCCTTAGTAGAGATCTTGACAACTTTCCATAATACAGAAACTTCCCACTTTCAAAAGAGAGGTACTGTGGGAAGCAGAGATGTATGGGCTTTCCCACATGTTTATTGAGGGTCTTTGTGAAAGTAGAACTGGCTTTTGGAAAAAGTTTAAGAGAAATAAGGCATACAATAGGTTTTGTGTCACTTTAGAATGAGCATAATCTGACATAAAACCCATTAAATGAGAGACTAAAAGAAAAAAATAATTAGATACATCACTGATCTCCCAGATTAGGAAATACTGTGACATGGAGCAGAGAACATGAAATTTGGAATCAGAGATTCTGGGTTTGAATCTTAGCTCCATTATCTACCAATTTTTCTCACTCGGACAAATTAAAGCCTGATTTCTCTTATTTGTAAAATGGTTTATTATAATCGTTGTATTTCAAGGCTATTGGGAATTTAATTGATAGCATACAAAAGTGTTTTATAAATAGTATGCAAATATGCTATTGGTTATAACAATATAGTTGTTATAGTGTAAGTCATAGGACAAAACACAAAGTATTTAATCCAACATTCTAATTTTACAGATAAGAAAACTGACATATAGAAGAGTGAAATGAGACAAAGATTCCCAACAAAACTGGAATAAAAAGAAAATTGAAAATAGATACAAACCACTATTGCTAAGGTACATTGTCTTACTATATATACAAGATTTAAAATGGAAATCCTTGCTTTCTATATTTATGACTGATCTAAAGTTTTCTTAAAAACTGAATGAAAGAAAAGCAATGGTCACAAGTGCTACTGTTCTGTCCAGAAAAGTCCTATTTGTAAGACAATAAATATTTGCATAAGAATTGTGGTGTTTTAACAGACTAGGCTCAAAAGAGGACCATCACAAGCAACATTTTTCATTAAAGGACTAGTGGGGGTCAGAGGAGCCTTTCCAAAGACCGAAAAGAATTATTTGAAGAAAAAATGAGGCATAATAAATGTATGGCATAGGCCAACACTCTAGAAATCTGAGAAAGCATACAGTGTATATTAGTAAGCTTGGGCTACTATAACAAAATACCATAGAACAGGAGGCTCAAACAATAAACATTTATTTCTCACAGTTCTGGAGGAGGAGAAGTTCAAGATCAGGGTACCAGCATGGCTGAGGAGTTCTGGTAAAACCTCTCTTCCTGGCTTGTAGATAGTTGCCTCCATGCTGTGTCCTCCATAGTGGAGAGAGGGAGAGAGAGCAAGCTCTCTGGTGTCTCTTCTTATAAGGGCACTAATCCCATCATAACGGCCCCACACTCATGACCTCATCTAAACTTAATTACTTCCCAAAGGCCTCATCTCCAAATACCACCACAGTGAGGGGTGAGAGCTTCAACATATGAATTTTGGAGAGACACAGTCATCCAGTCCATAACAGAGAGAGAAATAGAATGATTGGCAGTTTAAATAGAACGGAGATGGAAAAATTCACCTATTAAAAAAAGAGGAACAGAAACTCCCTATCAAGGTGACTATCTAAGCAAATATGTTTACTTCTCCTTCTCCAAATCTCTTTGAGAAGGCCAAAGAAATTTAAAAATGAAAATAAATTCAATTTACCACTGGAAAACTATAAAATGTAAAAGCTATACAAATAAAAATAAAAAATAAAACCAAGTCAAAACTACACTCCCACCAACAGCCAAGAATGGTGAAGAGATTCTGGAAGTTACAAAGCAAAGACAGCAGTGAATAATGAGGCAAAGCTAGAGTGATGAATTTGCAGCCCTCACAGGCAAAAGAGAATGAACTTAAAAAGGGATGGTGTACCTAGTAGAACCTTAGAATAATCCCAAATTAGAGACAGTGGAAACTGGAAGAATGGTCAGCTAGAGAATTAAACAGAGAAAGAGTATATGGGCTTCTGCAGGAGTAAGTGACTCCAGCATTAACCTCCAGGATCAAGATTTGACCAGGAATTTATAGATGGGCATAAATTCAGTAAAATACTATGATATCACCAATTTGGATATAATGTTATTGGGGATTGGTTGGTGTATTCCTCCTAATCTTCATGTTGGGAGAGAAGTGAGGGGGATCCCCTTACCTTCAATATTCTCATGGGTCAAATTCTGTTGACGGAAAGATGAAACACATATCAACTAACCAGGAAGTTTCTGAAATTGCCATCCTCATCCTGGAAGTCCACTGCATCCAGCCACAGGACCCGGAATCAACTCCTTGCTTTTTAAGCCAGAGCCAAACTTCCACCAAATGGAAGGTGTCAAACCATAGCAGGGATGGGAAAGGATGGCTTTAGCTTGGGCAGCCAAACCACTGGAATTTGGGGGTCAGCTGCAGCACATCAGGCCTGGGCACTTACTAACCTTGAAATAAAGCAACTGTTTATTTTATACAACGTATCTTTAAGGCAAACTTCTGGGGTTATGGTAGGGTTTCACTGTAGTTAGAATGAATGCTACTTCCTCCCTGCTTCTAAACAGATGTTATTTCCTTGTTAGAAACTAGGCATCTTTAAATTGAAAGGTCTGATGAAACTTCTTGACTTTTCAGCTAAAACTTCCAAATTCCAAGTTGTTTTTCAACCTGCGTGCTTCAGATACCTTCATTGACCATATGACTGGATAAAGCTTACTTTTCATTCTATTCACTTTTCTAATTTCTTAACAAAAAAAAAAACAAGCAAAAAACTTTAAGGATAATTTTTATTTATTTGCAGAGTTGAGCATGTGTCAGCTCAGTGTGAATTAATATAATAGTGCCAACCTTCATCTACATTCAACTTAATGTTGATTAGCCAAGCAGTGCCCATTTTCCTAGTGTTCATTAGGTTCAGAGTTCCCCAAAGGATGCTAGACTTCAATTAACATTACAAAAAGCTCTGGTCATTCAATCTTCCCTTTATACCTATTAGGAATATGCTTCTTAAGACCAACATTTCCAAAGGCAAATCACCCTTCTCTTCTAACCTCATTCAATGGAAAGAGCAGGAGTCATCAATGTCCTGGTGGCCTGCTATTGTTTAGCAATATCTATTCAAAATATGTAAGGTCATACCTTAGGACTTCAATGATCTCTGTGATAGTCTTCACCACCACCCTACTGACATGATAGGAATCCAAAATTTATTCATCAAATCTCATTTTTAATATTTTATCTTAAAATTGATTCTTCAGACTCAAACTGAATACAAAATTTTCCAGTATATAATTACACACTTGGGACAGACATTTGTAAAATAATTTTTTTAAATGCTGTGTTGAAAGAGTCCTTAGAGAAAAATGAATCTTAAACACTACCGAAAAATCTGTTGTAGAAAGAACTTGAAAATTATACCCAATTAGTGGAAGAGGAAGGACTAGAAGTTAATGTTTGTTTATATTTCCTTATACCCTGTATCTTAAACCAACATTTCACAGCTCATTTTAACAGAGACTTTGGAGAGGTTCCTGAGTTTTCCGGTGGAAGTGAAAAAAATCTCTCTGGTGGGTTTCTCCATTGTTTGATTCTGGATTTAGATTAAACTCATTCCTTTTTATTTCTTTTTCTTGCCTGAGTGTTCTGGCTAGGACTTCCAACACTATGTTAAATAAGACTAGTAAAAGCATCCTTGTTTGGTTCCTGATCTTAGAGGGATAGCTTTCAGTTTTTCTCCATTGAGAACGATATTGGCTGTAGGTTTGTCATATATGCCCTTTATTATGTTGAGGTACTTTCCTTCTATTCCCATTTTATTCAGAGTTTTTAGCGTAAATTGATGCTGTATCTTGTCAAATGCTTTCTCTGCATCTATTGAGATGAGCATATGGGTTTTATTCTTCATTTTGTTAATGTGGTGTATAACATTGATTGATTTGCAGATGATGAACCATTCCTGCATCCCTGGAATGAAACCCACTTGATCATGGTATATGATCTTTTTAATGTATTGTTGTATTTGATTTGCTACTATTTTGTTGAGGATTTTTGCATCAATGTTCATCAGTGATATTGGCCTGTAATTTTCTTTTCCGTGTCTTGTCCTTATCTGGGTTTGGTATCAGGGTAATGTTGGCTTCACAGAATGAGTTAGGAAGCTCCCCCTCCTCTTCAGTTTTCTGGAGGAGTTTGAGAAGGATAGATATTTAGTCTTCTTTGAATGTTTGGTAGAATTCACTCGGGAAGCCATCTGATCCTGGACTTTTATTTTGGGGGAGGTTTTTGATTACTGATTTGATCTCCTTACTGGTGATTGGCCTATTCAAATTCCCTATTTCTTCTTGGTTCAGTTTTGGAAGGTTATATGATTCTAAGAATTTATTCATTTCTTTTAGATTATACAATGTGTTGATGTATAGCTTTTCATAGTATTCTCTTATAATCTATTGTATTTCCGAGGTGTCCTCTATAATTTCTCTTTCACTTCTAATTTTATTTATTTGAGCCTTCTCTCTTTTTTCGTGGTGAGTCTAGCTAAAAGTTTGTCAATTTTTTTCTTTTCAAAGAACCAGCTCTTGGTTTCATTGATTTTTTCTATTGTATTTTACTCCCTGCTTCATTTATTTATGCTCTGATTTTAATTATTTCCTTCCTTCTACTGATTTTTGGCTTTGTTTGTTCTTCTTTGTCCAGTTCCCTTAGGTGCACTGTTAGATTGTTTGAGATTTTTCTTGTTTGTTGAGGTAGGCCTGTGTTGCTATAAACTTCCCTCTTAGAACCACTTTTGCTGTATTCCATAAATTTTGGCATTTCATATTTTCATTTTCATTTGTCTCCAGATATTTTTTGATTTTTCCCTTGATTTCTTCATTGACGCAATTGTTATTCAGTAACATTGAATCAAAATTCAATTCTGTTTAATCTCCACATATTTGTGTCTTTTTTGATTTTCTTCCTGTAGTTGATTTCTAGTTTTATACTACTGTGGTCAGAAAAGATGCATGATATTATTTCAATCTGCTTAAATTTATGGAGACTTGTTTTGTACCCTAATATATGATCAATCCTCGAGAATGTTCCATGTGCATTTGAAAAGAATGTGTATTCTGTGGTATTTGGATGTTCTATATATATTTACTAAGTCCATCTGGTCTTTTTTTTTTAATTTTTATTTTTTTGGATGTACATCATATTTCAAATTCTGTATACATTACATCATGTTCACCACCCGAACACTAATTATATTGCATCCCCTTACATGTGACCCTAATCACCCCTTTTGCCCTCCCCCATCCCCCCTTCCCCAATGGTAACCACCAGTCCAATCTCCAATGCTATGTGGGGTTTTTTTGTCGCTTTTATCTTCTACTTATGAGTCAGATCATATGGTATGTGACTTTCTCCCTCTGACTTATTTCACTCAGCGTAATACCCTCAAGGTCCATCCATGTTGTCACAAATGGCTGGATTTCGTCATTTCTTATGGCTGAGTAGTAGTCCATCGTGTATAAATACCACATCTTCTTTATCAATTTGTCCCTTGATAGGCACCTGGGTTGCTTCCAAGTCTTGGCTATTGTGTATAGTGCCACAATGAACATAGGGGTGCAAGTATCTTTATGCCTTTGTGTTTTCAAGTTCTTTGGATAAATACCCAGCAGTGGAATAGCTGGATCATATGGTAGATCTACCCTTAATTTTCTGAGGATACTCCATACTGCTTTCCATAGTGTCTGCACCAGTTTGCCCTGCCACCAG